TCGAATGAAATTCGAATTCACAAACTGTTCAATTTACATAATTGCATTGCCATCTCCAATATCTTGTAAGAGGCAAATTATTACTTGTCTGAGTGAAACATAAAAAAACGATTTCAAATTGTCACATATATTGATTGTGAGTGTCGTTTTTATGCGTCGCGCAATTTCGCTCCTTAGGTTTTTTCGATTTCAAATACTTTCCCATAAGGATGCGAATTTCCCACTCGAGTGTTCCTCACGTCTCATTTTATTTTTCTCTATTTAACATTCGGTGAACAACAAAAATAAAATGACACATAATAGGATTCGGATAGAGAGTTCGAATGTATCCTAATATGATAATCAAATTTCTTTAACATTATTAAACTTATCTTTTTCTCTCTTTATTCATACATACATAAGGCATCTTATATATAACAATATTAATTATTTAATCATTTAAATTTTATAACCGCTATTTGCGTTTAGTTAAAATATACCTTTGACATTCGTTACATCTTCACAAGTGTATCGTGTGTTTTATATATATGTATATGCATTTAATGTCGGTATAAATGACAATAAAAATGATAATGATATATGTATTTCTTTATAAAAGAATCTAATGTCTATCTAGGACAAATAAAAATTTTTCAAATTAAAAAAATTACAGGTGTATATTTTCCAAAATATGTCAGAGACATATGCCTGCAATTGGGAATCTGCGGTTGGGTGAAAAACAGTAAAACTGGTACAATCCTTGGCAAGATGCAAGGATTTCGAGCGCTTGTCAATCAAATGTGAGTCTTGAAATTGAATCTCTACGCTCTATCAATTTGGAAATAGTCAATCAATTGGGAATAATCAGATTATTTAGTTGGGAAGAACCAGTTTATACTTAGATACGACAATGTTCGCGTGTTCACACGGTTCTTCGATCATACGTACCTTGACTAACCATTGCTGTAACAAGTGATATGTTCAAAACTGACTTTAATAACGATTTAATCAAATAATGACGCAGTAATCGTATCATCTCTTTTCTTTGTTGGCAAATGACAACGACTATAATTAGAAGTAACTAGATTATAGTTACTGCATCTACTTATGTACCATTGACGTTGAAATAATACAAGATCGTAGGATTGTATAATATCGCTTTATCCAAGCAATATTTTAAATTTTCCGAAAAATATTCTGAAATAGTAGAAACTCAAATCGAATTTGAAAGAGAGAAGAAATTCTCTCACTTCTTTGAAAAAGCTTTGCTTCGATAAAAGCATGAAATGGGAAACGGAATGCGTCTGTTTTTGAAATGACAGATCATTAAAAGCAAAATGTAGAAAATTTTTGAATTATTAAACATAATATTAGTCAAAACTATTATCGCGATCAAAAAATAACATGATTATATTCGAAGCACAGTTTAATATTGCTAATCAACTTATATTACACAATAGTACTAGAAATTAATCTTGCATGTAAGGAATAATTGTTGTAACATTCAGTTACTTTCCGTTTATGCGTACAGAAGAAATTTCAATGTCATTAAAATTTCTTATTAACACGCGCTATTTACAAGAGATAATAAACAGAAAGTTATAACAGAAAGTTTAGTTGAATACCTTCGAGTAAAAATAACCGAACTCGGTCTGATTAGTCTAATTATAATTTCGAAGCGCATGAAACACTGGTGGAAAATGTATTCGTACAGAACGCACACTTGGTGAACAACAAATAACGATGTCGACGATGCAATTGGCAATGCGACAAACATTCATAACACGACCTTCTTAAACTTGAAACCGAGCATCAATCGTTTGCCAATACAGAAAAACATATCTGCGTTTCACATTTTGAAAAATCGCGCATGTTTTCTGTGCTTTTAAAGAACACTTAAAAAAACGTATTAGTGACCATTTATATGTCATTTAAATTAGTAGAATGATTTATAATAGCTTTAATATGTAACGTGTAATAAATATCCAATTTCCAGGGCACAATGGTTAATGTCAGTGGGCAGTCCAGGTAGCGAGATACATCATTGCGAGTTTACAAATTGGGAGACTATTACACGGCAGCAATATCAAGGTTTTGCGATTCGTTTTTAAGTTATCGCATAATCGACCGTGCATGTTTAATGCCATATAATTTTAAAATTAATGCAAACACAAGATTTATATGTGATACAGAATATATTGGAAAATTTTATATCTAAAACAGTTACACAACCATTTCATACAAGACGCATCTGTACCTTACGTTATTTGAACAAATTGTTAATCCACATGCATGGCTAAGGCATAATATTTAATGTATGTTTAATAAATTATAGATTCTTTATATAAACGCTACCAAAACATGATTACTTAGGATAAGGATATATATTCAAGAGAAATGTTATATTTGGTTATAGGCATACAGTGATAATTAGAATTTAAACTCAATATAGAGTAATTAAGAATTAAGAATTTATATAGATTTCATGTATAGACTCTTAAAAAAAATCGATCTTAAATAAATTCGACTAAACATGAAGACAAAAAAAATTTATATGTGCATTTCAGAACGAAATCAATTAATATCCTGTGTGTATATCAATGTATTTTACATACAAACATATATGTACAGATATGAATACAAATAAAGACAATTGTGTTTCTTGCGTTAGAATTGTGTCATTAACTATCGAGGTGGTTTCCGATTCCGTTTATAATTAAATTGCCCGATTCCGTTTATAATTAAATATTAAATTAAATAATGTATTGAAAAGTATATAACAATTACTTATTCTTACAACTTTGCAATTTGATTTCCATTATCTTTTTTAGTATTATTACCTGCGACAATAGCATATTGTCTTTTTATTAACAAAAAACAATGGCTTCGAGTCTGTTCTCGTTTCGTTGTATTTTTAATATATACAAGCGGTACAGTTCGACAAAATCCCGCCATTCTTAGTCTTTCCCTTCACAATATCACGGGACGCAGTTTATATAATTTGAAATTAATTATTATCTTCATAAATAAATGTTGCATCTAACATTAATAGCATAATATGATAATCACAATGCGTTTTAGGTAAATGCACTGATACTCGTCGAATCAATTCCATAGTATCGGCATTCGAACAATTTGTACAGACTATCTCAGGTACGTTCTAAAAATAAATCAAACTGTCAGGCAAGCTCAAAATATTCGATAAATACAACAGAGTTACCCTCGACTTACCAGGTTTTCCAAATATCTTGTAAGCGCTGGGCTCATTCGTGACATTTCTTCCAAAAGATTAGGCGTTTTTGAAAGATATGCCATCATTCTTCTTCCAACTATAGGTAATAAGTTTGCAGCCAAGCGTTCGATATCGGTTACCATTACAGTTACCTAACGACAAATGGAACAGATAGTTATGAATAAAGAATATAAACGTGTCACGTAATACATGATATAAGTGATTATAAGCATTTATACTTGATGTATACATGCATTTGTCGATAAATATACACGTATAAATATACACGTATAAAATATACACGTATGCATACGTACAAAAATGAATAATAAATTTATTATATATCTACCTCTTCCGCTAAACGATCGAAACCATTTATATACAGCTGACAGGCTTGATGTATCCTTAATTCATCATTATTAATTTTCCAGATACACGCTAATGTTTGACATTTGCTCATCCACGAGATAGCCTGTGTCGAACTGACCGTCACGCCATCGGTGGTCTCCCGATGAATAAATTCCATCGATGCTGTAATTACTCTACATAAAAAGTCTGTACGGGCATTGTCCCTCTTGTCATCTCGGTACCACGTAAGTATCGCTTTGTCGGTTATATCTTGAAAGAGATAGGGCTGTACCTGCGTGTGAGTAAGGGACAAATGTTTGTATATGACTATACACACCTTTAATTATACACCTCTCGCTACAGACTTACCACAGATTCGAACAAATTATTCAATGGTTTCAACATTTTCAAATTGAGACACGCCATCATATACAGGACATTAGTCACTTGTACATGTAACAGAATTAAGTCGTACCAAGCTGGTGCTTGAGAAACGGCTAATGCAGCAAATGGTTGCGGTCCATCGAGATGTCCGTCCCACAATTCTTCCGATTTTATTATCGCACAATCTCCACGTTCGAGTATTTCAGCCTACGTATAAATCAACTCGTAAAGTAAAAAGATGATGTATGACTTACCACGCATAGTCGTGTGTATTCACTACATATTTCTTATGTAACAATTTATTTAACTCATTAATTGCATAATTCTACGTACATCGATAAATATATCCAAGAAGGAGACACAGTGCTGTAAAAATGTCGTTACTTGAATGTCAGACAAACCAACGTCTTGCATACACAATCTTTCCTTTGGTAATTTTCCGAGTTTGTTCATCAGCTTTGCCACCGCTTCTATTCTTTTCTTTATGTGAAGCGTCCACAACAGACAACAGACGCCTATCGAGTAAACATAAAAGTGTGCACATGAATAAATATATATGAATGTTTCTAAAGTAGCTTACCGAAGAAGCGATATAAAAGCAAGTTTACCGTGTCTCATATTCTTTATAGGTATTTGTCGTAAAACAGTCAAGGCAGCTGCAAGCGAATTTAGCTGAGTAACATCTTTATTCCACGACATGGCAAACTCCCAGCATAAATTGGCTAGTAAAACACTGCTCGTTAAACTGTATGGGAAATGTCGTTTGAGTAGAGCTACTTTGTCTAGAGAAGAAAGATTCATATTACGATTAAATGTACATAATTGGAAACCCATTTCTATTGTCTTTACTGTTTCTATAAATTATATCTTGCCTAAAACAGATGCTTCCGTAGTCGTGTCCACCTTTGCTTCGTCTCCGATTTCTACCGATAAAGAGAGAAGTTTCATTCGGTCCTGTCGAGACACTTCAACAGCAGTCGCCTCACTCAGCGTATCAGTCAATTGTACAGAACCCACCGATAATTGCTGATCGAATTCTATGTCAGTAGTATCGATTAACCGTGCTGGATCGATACCGGTTGTACCGAGCCATTTCGCAACCAGTTCAGACACCGAACCTGATTCAAGCAAATAGAATGTGAAGAACCAAGAGTACAGTACTAATAACCGGATGTATTATCGAATAAGCAAGTTTAGACATACCTCTTCCTTTAGAGAGAATCGATGCCAGAGAAATATCATTTCTCGTAAATGGCAGAGCATAGAATTGCGTTGTCTCATCCAATATAACATGCTGACTAGAAATAAAATAATCTTTGTTATTACAAGGAAAAATCACGACACGTCTCTATGCATTCCAATCATTATCTAATACACACCTAATAACAGCATTCAATATAGTAATATCCTCTAGATTCCCGATCAACAACGTAAATTGACAGGTATCGTTACTGACATTTTCCCATTCGCTAATCAAATTATATGTTTCATCGTCTGGTGTGACATCATTCGATTTATTCACAATTTCATCTATCTGAGTTAAATCGTTTCCGTTTTTAGTATCCTCCTCGTTTCCACGATCCTTCGATAGTTTCTGACTTTGCAATTTCTCCTTATACTTCTCTAGAGTCATAGCGGTCGCTCTGCACGCTAACGCAGCAGTGAACGCTTTGAAAGGTTTCGCAGACTCTGTCAGAATAGCGCGTACATTTTTCCACCATGAAGAAATTTCATTGTATTCAACACAAATTTTTTCCACATCTGTTAGATTACAGATTATTAAACTCAACAGATCAATTCAATATATCATATATATCATATGATATTATGGAAAACACAATAAAAATTTACCGGTTAATAAACAAATAACATGTAAAAGCTGCGTAAAACGTTTTAATTCTATTTCCAAAGATTCATCTTCCTCCTTGTGCATCCAATATATCAATGCCAATCGCATAAAGATAAATGGTTGAATGTTACTGTCTTTAGCTGCTTGCTGCCATTTTTCTTTCGCATCATTCGAACGCATCCATCCTTGATATATCAATCGTGCTAAACGTCGCGTTAAATCATATTTCATAACTATGTAGAATACAATCACGATAATTATAAATTTTCAAACATTACGAAGTATACTTACAGATCTTGTATACATTTTCCTCCTTTACATCTTTTCGTAGCCCGATCAGTCTCGACGTGCCTAATTCAAAGCACGATAAAAAATCAAAGAACACATTTTCATCCTTAAATTTAACTCTGGTTTCCGATGAAACGTTACCATCTATGAAGTTGTTTAACATCTTGGCCAATTTAGTAACATGGTTTACCTCTCGCTCCGAAGTTAATAATATTAAAGATAAACTTTTAGCACTCGTCACATCATTAACCGTTATATCATACTTGGATGAAATATCAAATCGAAATTTAACGTATTTATAAAACGTAATCAATTGTTGTAATTGGGTTGTCAATTTGCGAAGCATCTTGGCGGTAGGTTCCGATTCTTCTGCAATAATTTTCCACATCCATCAGCATATATTCCATTAGCAAAAAATTGATATAATTTATTTACCGGTACATAGCGCGGAACGCTAGTACGACATTGCACGTACCTGGTTTTGTCGCAAAACAAAGCGTCGCGGCGAGTAAAGCGTCTGGTAAAATATGTTTGCTATTCATTAAAATCTCTAACATCTGTATTCGAACTTCATTCGTTTCTATTCCGAGACAAATGGTAGTAACTTCAGAAATTAATTTTTCCTCATCATAGTCCTCTTCTCTCAGAAACGTCCTCAGTTTCCGAAGTAAATGTATGTCGCGTGCTCGTTTTCCATTTTTACTATTTAGTGCAAAGTGGAATGGAACGCAAATCTCCTTTAATCCTCCAAGTGGATCGATAAAGACACACGAGTATTGCGCTTTATTTTTCAACAAAGTAACATTATCGTTCACGCCGAGAAAGCCATAATTAATGTACAATAATCTACAAAAACATCAATGATCTCGTATGAGAAACGGGAAAAACAGCGATAGAGAATGAAAGGGACGGGAAATGGAAGGAACGGAGAGAAGAAGAATAGAATAAGTACAATAGCAAATACAACTCACCGTCCATTTTTGCTAGCAGTAAAGGTAGTAATTTTTGGGCCTTGCTGAATATTCCAAATATCTATCACACCCTTCTTTGGTGCATAAATAACCAAAAATAGGGCAGTGCGTAACAAAACTTTTCGTCCAGATTTTTCGATATTCCGACGAATTCCGCGATCTCTCTCTTCGGTGACTTCTATCCAGCCACATTGAGCATCGCGATATCCTTTCCACATCCTCACAGCTATGCCCTTTTTATTACTCGCAAGTATCACTCTGCCCATACTGTCTGATATTACCGAAAACATTTTGTTCGGACTGCAAACAATGCAGTCACCCTCTCTCATAATATCGCTTAAACCAAATCGACACGTCATTGTCTCTACAGACTCATGAATGGCACCTTTCGATGCTTCAGACATTATATTCTTGGAATTTCCACGAAACCATCTGAGTCAACAAAATTTTTTTTCTTTTTACAAATAATTCTTATTAAACTTTCACATGGAAACTACTCAGACATATGAAAAGTACTTACGGAACAGCAGTGCCAATAGCGTTGGCCAATTTGCTAGCCATAGCGATAGCAACATCTGACAAGACTGGTGCATTACTACCTTCTAGCGCATAGTGAAATCCTACAAATGGTCGTTTTCCCGTTGCAATAACTAAATTATGTTGCGGCGCGCTAGATCTGTATGTCGCGTTATATCCACCGCAAATCGATGCTGTCATTAAATGATCAAAGCTATTTATCAACGTCGTACCTATCACTTCAGAATCGTTCGCAATATCTTGATTCTTGAATGCCCATTTTTTATACGACAAATTTGTAATCGGTGGTAAATCATCGCAATTCGCTTGAACTATAAAATAAAAGAATACACATCAAAATTCAATTCTATAAAAGAGGAAACGACACGAATAAAAAAAGAAAAGATTAAATAACAACATATACTTTTGGCCAAATGATTTCTACAGGCACGTAAAGTTGAAAATAATGGAAATCCTTGCAATATACAAACGCCACTATTGTATAAAATGTAAATCTCTTCGTTACAGCCAGCATCTCCAGTGTGTTTTGGTAAACTAAACGACTGGCATTTTATTCCTAGAACTGATTCATTATGGATTCGTTCCTCCAGGAGCAACGCGCCTGTCTAATAAAATAGGAACCGTATGTTGTATAACAAATTAATAGGATGGAACAAAATAGCAAATGAGCAAATTGACATTCTTACTTCCGTATAGAATCTAATGAAACCTGTATTATATCCAACAGCTATACATGTCCAATCCGGACCAGTAGCTTTTCCTAAAGATATCAAAGGCAAACAGATCACCGACGTTATCCATTCACTAAAAAGTATCTTGATTACAATTTACATACATTGTTTCAATGTAGCTCCAAAATGTTACTCACTTGGCTTCTTTCGTCACTTCCCCATGCCACATTATATAGAATTTATTTTTATTTCATCCAATTCTTCCGAATCCCATCTCGCTATAGAAAAACAACATAATTATATATTTCACTCGTATATACATATTTTATACATTTCACTCGTATACGTGTATACAAACGCACGTCTATCTGGAGAAATCATTCATCGATTCGAAACATCAAACAAATTATATTTGTCACGACCAATCATCATCGACCAATGAAACTGCATGTGTAAATATAACAAGAGCATAATAGCAAATAAAAGATTTTAACTTACAAACAAATATAATCATCTTAGTATTCCAAGCCATCGCAAGTACATCTCCAACTGACGATAGCGATATAGCACAGTCTTGAAGAGGTAGTTCATCGCTCGGTATATATTCGACTAAAAGAAATTTATAAAAATATTAGAATATACAATATCTCAATGCATATTGTATCAAGAAAACTTACATTTACCAATAGCATCACCATAAAGCAATCTTTTAATATTATCCACATCTGGTAGGTTCGCTATTCCTTTAATTCGACAGGACATTATGTTTATAGTAGGCTGATTATAAACAAAATAATCTTTCAATATAATGCCTAAACCATGTATCTACTCATTTACTACAGTACCCCGACACATAGTAGCCAAACCTGAAAAGACAAATTGTGTACAAAGTCTGTTATAAATTTCTGATGCTAGAAAGACAACAGATTGCTATATCTAATATCTATAATATCTATAATATCTAATTGCTATATCTAATATCTGATAATGTTAGCAAACTGCTGTCAGAAACTTGACAGAATCTGTTGACATTCTGTGCTAGCAGATTGGCAGCAGAAATCGAGTAGACCCTGCTGCAGGCTGCCATCAGATTGGCGGCAGAAAGCAAACAGGGCTGCACAACATAATTTGATAGCAGGATCTGCTTGATTTCTGCTGCCAGTCTGTTGCCAAAGAATGTCAACAGGTTCTGTCAACAGAATGTAAGCAGAATGAGACTTTAGATGAAGTCTACTAACATTTTCTGATTAAATCTGTTGCCAGTTTGCTGACATTCTGCTAACATTTTGTTAACTGGGTATTTAAATATATGTGAAAATCCAAATAACCGATGGTACATACAGTATGTCTCTTCAATACGAATCGTTACTCAGCATTCTTTGAATATCATAATCGTTCATCGAGTTCGCTCATTTTATAATAAAAAAGATCAGTCGTTATTGAATCATTACGAATAGTGACAACCGAAAAAAGATACACAACACACACAGTCGGATCGTAACCTGTACAGGATTGATAGGAGTGACAAATAAATTCCTTTGACTATAGGCAGAGAGATACCGTAGAAATCGTCGTACACTACTACCACCAACGTCTATATTGAGCCGTGGAACTATAAGTCACAAATTAATACACATGCAAAATAAAAGCACAGTATAGAGACGCTATAATCAGAGGGTGCGTTCCTTTATTTATTCCGAATACTATCAGTACTACGAATAGCGTTCCGATATAAGGTGTGTTGCTTTACTCACTCCGAGTATCGTCAATATTACGAATAGCGTTCTAATATAGAAAGCAGTTCGAAAATACTGCCTTGAATTCTATGACGTCATTGATTTTGACGTACTTTCTGTTGCGGCTACTGCAACCAGCGAAGTAAAGCAGTCAGAGCAGTCACAAACATGGCTGCTTCCATGGAGATTGAAATAACCTTGATTGATGCTGAAGAAAATAAAGCGTATAATATGTACGTATATATATTCATATAAAATCATGAAATAATATAATAAAATTATTATATGATATTATATATTATATATTATATATTAGATATTATATATTATAAATTATTTAATAATAATAATAATAATAATAATAATAATAATAATAATAAAAATAATAATAATGATAATAATAATAATAATTGTTAATATTAATATTATTATTATTAATTTTTTTATTATTATTAATTATTTTTTATATATATATTTAATATATATAGGATGATTCAGAACAACCGTTTATTCTTAAAGAAGCGTATTCCTGACTTTATTCTAAGACAATTTTTCTTTTACCAAAATTTTATCCGAAGCTTAGTTTTTAAATTATAAGCAGAAATAGTTTATCAATTACGGGCTGAGTATAGAAGGTAGGCAGGGACGGCGCAACTTACCATCCAATGCAGGTGATTACGCGGAGCGCACACTGCGATCAGCTGCTTTGCTACGAGACACAAACACACATGCACATTCGTGCTCGCACACATGCATGCACACATATACGCACACGCATGCATAAACTTACCTTGTAAAAATTCGATGTTTTCGTAGCTTGCAAAAAACGGACAGATTAATATCATAATTTCACTCGCCGTGATAGCAACTTTTTTTCCATGTGACGAATCCACAGCGAATAAATCAAACTTTTTCTTTCTTGAATTATATCAATATTTACGCACTCGATTGATTTATAAAAATCCAAATCTATCGGTCCATCACTATTAACCGCTACCGATTAATTATTTGACGACTGAGAATTAAAATACTCAAATAAATACTCAAGAAATACTCAAATTAAACAGCACATTACATACAATTAGAGAAATTAGAAATTTTCTTTTTTTTATAAATTGTATCACATTATCAACACGTTTATTGATGCACTCGATCGATAAAATAAGGCCTTTATCCGAATGAATCGATTCATCAGTAATAATCACTATCAGTTAATCATTCGGCGAATGAGAATACTCGATGAAAAAAAAAACACATTATGTATAATCACAATAATTAATTATTTATAAACACATATCAACACTTTTACGAACTTATGCAATGATCAATAAATCGAAAAATTCACGAATAATAAATTACAAAGTAATAAATTACATTTAATTATTACCGATTAATCGGCTGGTTTGGAAATCATTTGATAAGATGCGTTACATATACGACACACGTTACTCGATGAGAAGTTCTGTTTGACAATAATAAGTAGTCCACAGATTGCAAGTTATGTATGTAAAATTCCTTTTCGTGTGAATAGCGATTCATCACTGAATATCACATGAGAAGCAAATCTGGGATTTCATTCAACATTTCTCAGAAAATTTTCGCAGAATGTTCTTCTTAGATAATAATCCTCAAGTCGTAAATATTGTACGCGTGTGTAATGAAATGTGTGCAATTTTTCTTCTTTCAATATCCTTTATACAGTTGCATATGATAAATCGTTCTCGAGCAACGATCCGAATACTCATTTTCGGATTTTGCGCGAAAGCACGTACAACTGTCTCCATATTTCGCAAATTTCTTGCCTCGCGATCTTTCCGAGTGTCGTGTTTGTTTGGGAGGATTGCCAGTTTCGTATAGCCTTTGAGCAGCTCGAAGTATAACAGGAGCCGATGGATGTGTTCTTGCTCGGTTTGGGTACAATTCGGCGTATCATCTTGCAATAGCGTGATATTGCCCATGATGCTCACCAAGTGCCATCAGCATATCGTAATATTCTTCATAAATGTTCCCATATCATCTTGATAAGGATGTTTTTCTAATAATCAAAGGATTATTGAGCTAAGTATCGATCATCTCATTCTATTTATACGATCTTCGTGGGAGACCATATCTCCCTCTGCGCCATCCCCTGCGAATAGGAGATCGCGGATTGAGACCCGCAAATTGCCATGTCTCACTCTATGCTATCCCCTCACGAATAGGAGATTGCGGATTGAGACCCGCAAACCGCGATCTCCTATTCGTGGGGGGTGGCGCGGAGGGGGGACATGGTCTCCCACAGAGATCGTATAAATAGAATGAGACGATTGATATTTCGCTTAATAATCCTTTGATTATTAAAAGATTATGCATAATATGTTTTTTTTTCATCAAGTATTCTCATTCACCGAATGATTAACAGATAGTGATTATTACTGATGAACCAATTAATTCGTAAAGGTCTTATTTTATCGATCGAGTGCGTCAGTAAATGTGATGATTAATAATGTTATACAATTTATAAGAAAAAGAAAATTTCTAATTTCTCTAATTGTATGTAATGTGCTGTTTAATTTGAGTAATTCTCAGTCGCCAAATAATTAATCGGTAGATTAATCGGCGATTAATAGTGATGGACCGATAGATTTGAATTTTTATAAATCAATCGAATGCGTGAGTATTAATATAATTCAAGAAAGAAAAACTTTGATTTATTCGATATGGATTCGTCGCATGGAAAGAGTTGCTATCATGGCGAATGAAATTATCTGTTCGTTTTTTACAAGGTATGGAGACATTAAATTTTTACAAAGTAAGTGCATGCGTGTGTGTGTGTGTGTGTGTGTGTGCGTGCGTGTATGTGTGCTTGCATGCATGCGAGCGCGAATGTGCATGTGTGTTTGTGTCTCGTAGCAAAGCAGTTGATCGCAGCGTGCGCCCCGCGTAGTTACCCGTGGACGGTGAATTGCGCCGTCTCTGCTTATCTTCTATACTCAGCGTAATTGATAAATTATTTCTGCTTATAATTTAAAAACTAAGCTTCGAATAAAATTTTGATAAAGGAAAAATTGTCTTAGAATAAAATCAGGAATATGTTCCTTTAAAGACAAACAATTGTTCTGAATTACTCTGTATAATAAAATTATATTTTTTTTAATATTAGATATGCCAGCCATTATTTCAGTTAGAGCTTCAGAAAACATACTGCAACTGCGTTCCGCTTTATAATCTTGAAGCAGTTAAAAAGCGCATGAAACTAAAACGGAACGATAGCCACAGTACACTTTCATTACGTCTTGAGAACTTGGAGTGAATAAAGGAACGCATCCAGAGACTGGCCACGAAAAAGCAACTTTTGATTGGTCCGTCATCTTTTGACTATTCCCACCTTTGAATATAGGCATGGAGGGGGAATATTGGCACCGAAAGCACAGTATATACAGTAGCGCAACTCTCCCGATTTGGGCAACTCTCTCGAGCGTATGTCAAAAGGAACTGCGCGCGCGAGGTATGTAACCAATCAGAGCACGAATATTCCGTCTCACTTCTCTATATTTTTTCCTCTTGGTAGAGATGCCTATACAGCATTTAACAGAAAATGGCGGGAACACACACATACGCGAATAGATATTTTAAATATTCCCAATCACGATTATTATAACATGAATCTGCCGGAAAAAAATGCTTTTCAATATTTGCGAATATCTTATTAAAAAATGTACAGAAATGCATACGTATGAAATATGCACAGATTATGTAAATGAAAATAAGACTATAATAGATAATACTACTTTATATTGTTTTTTCCGAGCTTATAATAATACAGATGATCCTTTTGGAAATTTACAAATAGCAAATAATAATTTTTGTGCATATATTCATAAATTAGAGGAAATATTTGTGACAACATTTGAAAATAATTGCTTTCAAAAAAATATTGATAATTATTTATATCAACTTGCATAGGATGTAAATTTTGAGGCACCATGTCCACACTTTCCTACAAACTATTTAATAAAATTATTTTTCCGCATGCGTATTTATTTTACTTTATCTCAACATAACAAAGAATGC